GCGAAGCCACGCGTTGACACGGCCCAAGAATCCGATCCATGGATATTAACGTTTCGCGAATAATTGGGCCCCATCAAATTTGGGCCCAGTTCGCTGAGTTTTATATTGGAAATTAAATATATTGGATGGGAATGGAAGAAAATTCTGTAATGGAATTTTGTAACAGGATGATGTTTTTACGTTTCGAAAAACATCATTCTTCGTATTCGAGATACGATAATATTCGAATAAAAAGAGTTTGTCTTGGACAAGATGTTAATAATATTTTAACGTAATTACAAATTCCAATTCCTTGGAAGAAAGCACTGTCTACGACTCAACCACCGAAGAAGCAGTTTGGACGAGGTAATTCCATCTGGTCGAACATCAAACATCGAAACGTATACTCGGCGGTGGACAAGCGGAGCTGCAACCGGGAATTTGCCTTGTATTTTGCATTCGCCCCGGCTCGAGGGGAAACTCGAGGGGGAGTAGGCATGATTGCAGGTATGGCCACTGTGCGCGTTTCATGGAAAAGTTGTGGCGGCGGCGATGTCGCTCTCGAGCACCTCACTTTCAACTTAATAACGCAATTACCGCCTCCCGCCGCAAGCCAACCCTCTCTTATACTTCTTCCACCATTTTCTTCCTTTCCACCAGTTTCTCTCGTTTTCGTTGCCAGATAAACCGCGAGAATGACGTTGCTTCTGTAATCTCTCTCTAACTCTCTCTCTCTCTCTCTCTTACTTTTAAAACTTGGACGCTTTGAAGTATATAAATATTTTAGGGGAGGGGAGAGGGGGAGGGGGGGAATTTGCGAATTTTTAAATTTAGATTTCTGATTCTCGTCGATATTTTGAAATTTATTAATTAATGGTAAGTTTATAAATATTTTCTTTGTCGAAAGAAGGGATGAATCGAAAAGTACGTTGTTTTTTTTTTTTTTTTAATTGTTCGATCGAGAAAGAAGTGGTGGAAAAGAGACGGAGAACAATTCGAGATGCAATTTTATTGGATAAGCCATAAACGCGATAAGATGTTTCATCGCGCGTGGGGATAATAGAGAAATATTATTTGAACGAGAAAAAAAATCAGGATTTACCGATGGAAATGATTTTCAAGCTGGTTACAGTCATTAAATCCTTACGGTCTTCCATTATCTATAATGTCAGGCCTGGTCTTGCCGAGCATAATGGAATTATAAGACGTGTACGGTTAATGGTGTTCAATGACAAAATGAATAAAGAGAGGAGGGTATTTGAAAAATAGCTAGGGAGAATTTCAAAATCGTCTGTTTATCCTCCTGTAACCTGTAGTTATACAACGGAAGAAAAAAAAAAAAAAAACCCTTTTTACTTTTCATCAAATCAAGCCACTTTTCCCGAGCAAATTTCTAATACGCGTTTTACAAAAATATAATCATGGATATAATTATCTAGATAGGCAAAAAGTTGAATTAACGAGAAGAACGTGTATATAATAGTACGATTAAATCGTGTGTGTAAATTTCATTACGTTACATTAGAAAAAAGGATTGCTGTTCCACGTGTGATACGCTTGTGATGTTATGCGTACATTGTATAGGGTCAAAGTAGAACTATTGAAACGATCAGTTGGTCAAGTTACGGTTGCACGGCAGTAAACTTGGAAGTGGGAGTAAATTTATCGTTCGACTCTCGCCGAGATTATAACATCTTCGTTGGAAAATGATTTAAACGGCACTCAACGAATCGAATATTCGACGCGAAATTGCCTATTCCGACATTCTATTATTTTATGAGCCTGTTTATGACATAGTACACAGAACGCAGGCGCGATTGGTGACACTTTTATTAACCGATGGTAATGTGCCAAGGTTCTTGATCAATTTTCTCAACTTGTTTTCGTAGTTGAAAGTGGATTTTTTTCATTAGACATTTCTTTCCAATATTGAAAAAAAAAGAAAAAAAAAAAAAATATTACCCTTCTCTCCTCGAGTAACAATGACAAGTTTCTGTAATAACTCTCTTAACTTTGAAGTTGTTGTATATATCTGTTTGTGAATGTATATTCGATTTTGCTTTCAATTAAGACCGAATATTAATTACGAAAGAATCGATCGATCATGTCAATATTCATTAATTAATACTCGTTAATTCGACACGATAAAACTTGAAGCAGTTCCATCGATCCATGCTCATTTTCACTCCGATCACCGAGTCCCAATCGTGTTGAATAGAATTATATTTCCATCCAGAAACATAGAACATTGAAATATCTTCAAGATAGTGGGAGGGTATTTTTGATTTTTTAAAATTTCGGAGTAAATTTAAAACGCTGTATCTCAGCTTCTAGTAGCTGCGTAAATAGGATTTCTTCAGCTCAGTTTCAAGCGGGAATAATCTCCTCTTTCTTAGAATAATCCTTACCCGTTTTTGGGAGAGAGACTATATTTGG